CCTTCTAGTTGGTTTGCTTGCATTCTGAGTTGTTTGGAAACACACTTAGACGCAGGTCTCTTGGATGAAACATCTGGCAGTGTTTCAATAGCTACTAGGAGCAAGGACGCTACTAGCCGCATGGTTAGGAGATGCCTTGTCGTTTGCCCTGTATGGTAGCCTTGCTTAGCTTGGCAAGGCAGGACACGTGTGTATGTCCATTCTCTCAAAAGACATGGTCAACCAGAATACTTAGTACTTCAATACCTAATTCTCAGAATGGATTTTGCTCAGTACTTCAATACTTTAGTTGAGTTCAACCACAACGACTTACCTTGTGTCTTCAAGCCATTTTGTGTATCAGTTGTGTGCAGGAGTTGAGCAACGCATACGAGGTGCTTTCAAATCCGGACTGGCTTTGCTCACAAGTTTGCGCAGTCACGAAATATTGGATCTCACGCTGTGGTATGTGAAGGCAATTACTGTACATCGTTTTCGATATGAGAACAGAATCCATGTCTTTAAGCCTGCCGTTTGCAATTTTTCGAGCCGTTTGGTGTGAAAGCTTTCTGATTTTCGTTATTTGAAGAATAGAATCCCAGGAGCGGCGAGCTCTTTATGATCGCATGGGTGATGAGGACGCTGTTTGCCGCTACTGGACGCTTCATCCTTTTATAGAACTGTTTTCCGCTGCCAGATGTCATGTTCACGAGTCAGGGCATGGGGGAAGCAGTTTCTCCGCAACCACGTGCATGCCTCAGCAGTTTCTTCGTTTCTCCTGCAGTCGTTCAACCTTCTCGACCCAAGGAAGCCCCACACATGATATCTTCGACATCCTGGGCGATCAGGGTGCAGGTCTGGGCCGAAGCAAGGCATCGAGTCGCTTTCGGCCCCACATGGGATGATTGAAGTGAGCAGTGCATAGGATTTGTCCTAAGATTGGTCATTAACTTGACTGGATTGGATTAGAGTGACTCGAAAGAGCACAATTTGTGATGTTTTGGACTTGCTTTACAATAGCTATTATTGAAACAACAACTTGAAAGTGGAATAGTATTGTAATTCGTGTACACCTGTTCAAGCTGTGGCAGAAGTCAAGTGCAACTGTGGGTCCTATCTATCTATCTATCTACCTACCTACCTATCTATCTATCTATCTATCTGCCTTTGGGGTCAAGCTGGCTGTCATGAGCAGCCACGTCCACGGCTTTCGACATGGCGGATGATACCCAGTTGGGCAGTGCTCTTAAATAGTCTGGGCTCCTGCGCTGGCTTCCTTGCGTACTCTTGCTGGCTGCTACTCTCTGGCCGTCTTTCCGTTGGACATCAACATCCTGATCTTCAAGCACAGCTTGGCCTCCCCAGTCCCATTTCCGGGCATCTCATCATGCCACCCAGCCTGTTCAACACTGTTTTTGGTGGGATGGAAGGGAAGGGCTGGTCCCTCCTGAAGGGGACAAGAGATCCCATGGACTCAAAGGCAAGTCCCAAACCATATGGCATAGGGCACAAAGCGCCCCACAGGCAACCTCCAACACAATCTGCGCCTCCAAAAGGAGCTTTCGTAGACTGCAGAGGAAATTAGCATTGCACGGTCTAGCTACATTAGCAGCTACATATAGAGGACGCATTTGGTATGACATCCCTGCAGAGGCTTGCATTGCACCTCCGTCCAGGGAGGCTTCAACACACCAGCCTCGCCGCCCTCGACCCCGTGCATCCTTCATGAGTTGGAACTGCGTGGCCTTGAACTCCCACGACTACCTTGAGCTCATGCAATGGTTGGCACTGCAACAGCTGGACATTGTTATGCTGCAGTCCACCCATTGGACGATCAGTGAACCTTCGCAGAAATTTGGGTACACTGCCTTCCCATCCACTGAACACAACTCACATGGTGGAGGTCTCATTGTCTTCATTCGATGTGGGGCTGACACCGTGAGCGTGCGTCATCCCTGGCCAGCTTCAGCGCCTGCGTTGTTACACATCTCGGGGCAATGTTCATGCGCTGAATGTTTACCAATATCCCAGTGGGGTCACGAAGAAGCCTGTGGGAACAGCTGGACAGAGCCACAAAGTCCATTCCCTATCAGAACTTGCTTCTTGTTGGAGGAGACATGAACAGGACCCAACCCTAGAGACCAAGACCTCTTCTTGGAATGGATCAAGGCTCACCTCGCTCAGGGTGAAAGTCAGTTATGTTGGACCAAGAGGCTGTAGCAACATTGACTACATCTTCATAAAGACCTCTCAAACTGATGTGACCTCCTTCAACGATTCAACACCAAATGTTTTCCCGCCTTCCCGTTGTTAGCTCACAGGGAACACCCAGATCACCGACCTCTTCTTGGAAGTTTCCCTCTGGGCTGGAAGGTGTGGCTGCAATCCAGAGCCAAGCATGACCAACAGATCCCAACCAGGACGAACCGTCAACTCCTGCAGATCGTCGTGCTGTGCGCCCTCGCTGGACAGCATTGGTTGAGAAGGCGGGCAAATGTGTTAAGTTTTCTTAATCGACTATTCAACAGCACTATCAATCCAGCGCTACCCATGTTCTTTTCTCAATTGATCCACAACCGAGATCACGTGTCGCCAGGAAACGGAAACATTTTTCTAGGCTAGGAATCCTGGTTCCAATACCTCCATGCTGAAGAACATCATGCATTGTTGGCATCACATTGGCAGGCACCTTGTTCTCCGGAAACAGCTCAAACAGGTATGTCAAGAAAAACGCCGGCAGCGAATAAATGAAGTCTCCAACCAGGCCACCAGAGCGGCTGCTGTGCGTGACTCTCGTGGTCTTTACGAAGCCATCACAAAGCTCACGCCTAAGCAAACCAGGAAGGCTATTCGGTTTTGAGACTCCAATCGCAATCTCCTTGACCCTTCAGGCTGAACTGGACACACTCCAACTCTTCCAGGCTGCTCAACCGGTGCGCGATGCACTCAATTGCAAACCGTTGATCCTGTCCATTGAAGAGATTGAACAACAACTGCTGAAGACCCGCGTGCATAAAGCAGTTGCTCCAGGTACACCGCCTGCTGCCATGATCCATGCACTGGTGCCAAAGTTGACCGCTTGGGCACACCACTTCATTGCTGATAGGTGGAGATCTCAGCCCAGGGTTCCGCAATGTTGGAAGGGTGCAAAGTTGGCATTCCTGGCTAAGAGAACAGTACACTCACCTCATGGTCTTCGTCCCATAGCTCTTACAGATGCTGGTGGGAAAGCAGTATTGGGTGCCTACATGCTACGTGCCAAGGAAGCAATGCTGCCAACCTTGACCGCCTTGCCTCTGTTTGCATAACTGCCGCAACGAGGAGTTGCGGAAGCGTTAATGTTGATCTTCTATTTCTGTTCAGAGATTCGGGGTGGGTGCTCACCCAACTCAAGGATCCAGTATGGCGCGAGCTTGGGAAAGGCAAAGACCTGCTGAGGCGCCTAACTTCTGGATCTGTTTGAGGGATCTACCGGCCATTGAGGCCTTCTTGGCTGATTGGGATAAATGCAGCCGTTGTGCCTCAACTTTGATTGGCGCCGCCCCTTGGACAGGAAGGAGTTCCATGATGTTTCAACTTTGCCGTATCATGGCAGTGGGGCCAAAACCATCTTGGCAGTCAGACCTCTGAAGCTGGTCCACAGGTGCCATGTGGATCTGGGCCTGTGCCAGAGCATCGCCGGAAGGAATTGGCGCCGCGCAGCACACTCTTTCACGCGCCCAGATTCCAGGAGGACACCTCTCAGGTGGAGGCGCCGGATATCGCCTCCTTCCTGCAGCGGCTCGATGCCTTGGAACGGATCTCCTGAGCACGGCGCCGTGGCCAGCGTTCTATGAGCTCAGCGCTGCAGCCTGCCGATGCGCCGTGCCGCAGCTGACTGAGAGTCTCCCTGGTTTTGCCTGCCGGATGTATGGCTTGGCTGGAGAGTAGCAGATTAGATGCTCTCAGTGCTGTGAAGCCCTCTCTGAAAGACTTCAATCTCGCATTGCGGAGTGCGCCCTCATTCAGTTCATGTTTGAGCAGACGGTTCTCCTGTGCTCTTTAGTTGTTTCTGTGCAGCGCTAGGACTTGAAGCAGCAATGTTGCCAAAGTGGCTTTTGACTACGCTGAAGCTGCGACGTCAGTCGTGAACGCCTACATAGTTTCTGAGACTCGGAGAATGCCACAAACTGCAAAAAACTATCTATCTATCTATCTGACTGGCTTCTGAATGGCTGGTTAGTGGCCAGGGTTCAGACACATAATTATTGGAGTATTTTCAGACATTGTTTCCGCAGCCAAATGCATAATGCTTCACCGATACTGCACCATCGAAAAAGAGTGCGCCTGCTGTTTTGAGAGTGGAAGCCTCAGAAACGATCTGAAACGTACAACCACAATATCTGTCTATCTATCTATCTATCTACCTATCTACCTATCTAGCTAGATAGCTAGCTAGCTAGCTAGCTATCTGTCTGTCTGTCTGTCTATCTGTCTCTCTCTCTCTCTATCTCTCTCTCTCTCTATATATATATATATACATGACTTGTATACATACCTACATACTACATTCATACATACATTCATACATACATACATACACAGTGCACGGATGAGATGCAATAGAATCAAACTAAATAATGATAGTCTATCTGCCAGGCCCCTTTGCTGATTTGTTCGGATTTGGCACCAATCGGCCAACCCAGGCACGGAGTGACATGAGTCACGTGATAAAATGCTGTGACAAACTGTTCCTGACAACCACTGAGATTGATTTTCCAGGGCTTTCTACATACTGAACATGCCATTTTTGTGGAGAGTGCTCGGTGCCCGCCGGTGCTAGGTTGAAATGTCCGTCACTTTGGAGGAGGCGTACCTGGGAACTTCTCGCCAAATCCGGGCGCGAAGGAGCGGTAGTCGTTGCCTTTGCTCCTAGTAGTAGTAATGCCCTTGTTACTAGTAGCGATGCCTTTCGTTACTAGTAGCGTCCTTGTTCCTAGTAGCAATGCCAGGAGTTACTAATAGTTTCTAGCCCCTAGTATCGATGCCCTTGTTCCTAGTAGCTTCTTGTTACTAGTAGTAATGCCAGGAGCTACTAGTAGCTTCCTTGCTCGTCAGCTGTGTGAAGGAGCTTAGTTTGCAGAAGCTGCCATGGCCAAGGTGGATCACTACTTTGCTTGAATTGCGAGGTGTGGAAACAAAACGCTGGCCCATGATGTTCAGAAAATGGCTGTTGTGCTCCACGGCTATGACTCCAGTGTCCATGACTTGTCAGGGCTCAGGCTTCAGCATTCATCGGCGGATGGGACCTAGCTTCTTGCAGCAGGCCAGGAAGCTGGCTAGAAGGAAATGGGTGCACTGTGGAAAGTGAGGGTGGTTTTTCATGGAAGGTAGCCTAAGTGAGTTCACTTTGCTTTAGCAAAAAGGTATTGGAATGGTGACCCCCGTGGTCTGCTTTGTTTTGGTGAATTGCTGGGAGATTGAATCCATTGACAGTCATTAGGTTTGTGAAACTTATTTATGTTACGTTGGACAGCCCAATCTATTACACTCCAGAACTCACCCGCAGTCAGCTGGTCTGGCACTGGTCTGCTGGAATGACTCCACCTGCCCTTCAAACAGTATTATGAGAAATGACTCCCTGCCTACGTACCTTTCTTCATGCACCTCTCCACTCTCAAGTGGAATCACATTTGCTTCTCGCGTTTTTCCATATTTCGCTTCGCAGATTGTTCAAGGCTGATACAAGAGACACACATACATATATATGTGGGGGGGACCTTTACGTATAATATAACGACCTCTCACTCCTCAGCTTCGTCCCAACTGCTGTACTCTACTCTATTCTAAAAAACGATTGTGCCAAAGATGCAAGGAGACTTGGATAATATACCTTATCAAATAAACGTAGAGCCTGGTGGGATACAAACAAGAGAAGTGGTATAGGGTAGGGTAGGGTAAAAGATACACAGGTTGATCAAGTACATATATATATATGATATATGTAATATATAATTAGTAGTCCTGGTCTCGGGTGGACAAAGTAGTTCTGGTCGGCTGTGCTGAGATCTGACCTTGGCTCTAAACACTAGTGAAAACCATTGTGAAGATAAAGCTCGAGTTTAAATGAGTGTGTCAAAGACTACTGCAGGGTAAGATACACTAGACTAGTCCAGGTAGAATTACGCAGAGTAGAGTAGCATACATACAGACAGAATACACCCACGCGATAATCGCGACTAAAATTGAACAATATTATGGGTGTGGTTCTTGCCCTTTGTTGATCCTTGTTGCATCATTCATTTCTCCTATGGACTTTTTGCACAGCCTGCGTTCTGAGTAGCGGAGGACATGAACACAGAGAATATGGGCGGGAACACAAATTTCTAGGACATCCTGCAGCATTACAACCAGACAAGTTTTGTTGTCGTCTTACTTCTCGTTTGTCCCTCCCTTCCTCTCCTGTCCTAGGTTGAAGCCTTTTGCGCGCTTGCATGTTCACATCTTTGCACTTTCTATGTCATTTCGATCTGCAGTCTTCCTTTCATACCTCCCTTCAAGTAGACAATAGTAGGGTAAGTGGGCAGAGTATATAAGAGTGAAAAAGTACGCGCATTTCCAGGACATCCTGCAGAGCGTTAGAGTGCATCATTTGCTTGCAAAACCTTTAGGTACATAAATACGAAAAGGAGCTTATGAAAGGGTTTACATATTGGTTACTGTTTATTAGGGGGTGCTTTCTTATTGTTTATCGGATAACTAGCCCACTCCTCTCCATTCAGCTTCGTCCCAGCTGCTGTACTTTACTGTATTCTATTCAAAAAAACGATTGTGCAAAGAAGACTCGGATAATACACTATGCCAAATAAATGTAGAGCAAGGTTGGTGACAGACAGGAGAAGTGGCATAGGATAGGGTAAAAGATAAAGCAGAAGCGAACACAGGTTGAAAAACTACATGTATATAACAATATATATATATATAATATAATATAATAAAATATGATATAATACAATATAATGTAATATACTACAATATATAATTACTGTAGTAGTCCTGGTCTGTGGTTGACAAAGTACAAGGTAGTTCTGGTCGGCTGTGTAAAGATCTGATCTTGGCTCTAACCACTATTGGAAACCATTGTAAAGATGCAACTCGAGTTTAAATGAGTGTGTCAAGAACTATGGCAGGATAAGATAGACTAGGCTAGTTATCCAGGTAGAATAGCGCAGAGTAGAGTAGCATACATACAGACAGAATACACCCATGAGATTATTGTGACCAAAATTGAACAATATCATGGGTGTGCGATCCTTGTTGAGTCCTCCATTGCATTACAAGCATAAAAGTTGGGTTGTAGGCTTACTTTTCGTCTGTCACTCCCTCCCTCTCCTGTCCTAGGTTGAAACCTTCTGCGCACTTGCACGTTCACATCTTTTCATGTTCTGTATCATTCAATTTCGGTCTGAAGAATAGGCAACGTATATAAGAGTGAAAAAGTATGTGCATGTCCAGGGCATCCTGCATCATTTGCTTGCTGCTTGCAAAGCCTTTAGGTGCATAAATACGAAAAGGAGCTTATGAAAGAGTTTACATACTATTTGTATTGGGGGGTGCTTTCTCACTGTTTATGGGATAACTAGCCCACTCCTCGCCATTCAGCTTCGTCCCAACTTCTGTACTCTACTCCATTCTAAAAAACGATTGTGTCAAAGATGCAATGAGACTCGGATAATATACTATTCCAAATAGATGTAGAAGAAGGTGGGATACAAACAGGAGAAGTAGCACAGGGTAGGGTAATGTACATCAATGCAAGATGAAGCAGAAGCGAACACAGGTTGACAAACTACATATCATACATAGTAATCCAATCTATGGTGAGGGGTTTGTAAAAAAGGTTTTTGTGGAAGGGTGTGCACAAATACGATTGGCCTTGGCAGGGTGAGGGGTCTATAACATGATGGGTTTTGTGGGAGGGTGTGCGCAAATACGATGGGGGTGAGGGGTTTATAACATGAGTTTTTGTGGTCGGGTGTGCACAAATACGAGGGACTTTTGACAAGGTGAGAGGTTTATTAACATGGGTCGTTGTGGAGGGCGTGCGCAAATACGAGGGCCTTGGCAGGGTCAGGGGTTTATAAAATGGGTCTTGTCGGAGGGTGTGCGCAAATACGATGGACTTTTAGAGGGTAAGGGGTTTATACAATGGGTTTGTCCAACCTTTGTGTTTTGTGTGCTTAAATTTGGTCATGGCATGGTCTGTTAATAATGACCTATAGCCTATAGCAAATTGCCAGTAGCCTATAAATGAGTAGATCTACCAAATCATGGGGGATGTACGATAGGCATAGTGTAATTCACAACCAGCCGTTATAAAGCAACAAAAAAGAGACAGGTAACAAGAGTTTAGCCAACTCATAGTGATTGGGTTCTGAAAAAGATTGCTTAAACGGCGGTTATATTATGTTCTCCCTTTTCACCCTTTTCTCCCTCCACAATGAAGACACATGATACTTAGTATTCTTTTCTCCCTTTTCTCCATCCACACTGATAATAGATCATTATAGTTCCTGGGATTTGGACTTTGGCAGCCCACCAACACAAAAACAACTCACACATTGTGACATTGAACATATAGTGATTTTTTAAAGTAGATTTACAAAAGCCATGGAGCAATGGAATGTAACATGTAACATATGCCACAATTGTAAAAGGTGTGCATTGTTCACTGCAGGCATGTGCTGTTTGTTTGAGTGAATGTTTGTTTTGCTGATTGTTTGTGTGTACTGTTTTCCGTTTTTTTCGGAAATGTTTGCGTTTTATGAAAAGAGGACGGGAAACGTAATTTTGTATATCACCAAGATCCCCATTTTATAAGGAGTTCCTCAAGGGGTATCATTTTATAAGGAGTCCCTCAAGGGGTATCATTTTATAAGCAAACAAGTGTGGGGATATATTTAGTTTTATTGCAGACGACTAAAAATCAAAATCCTTCAGGTTCCTAAATATGATTTAAAAACATCCAATAAAAAAATAACTCCAGGTTCCTTGGTTTTCATGTATTTAGACATTCCTTTAAACAACTAAATTTCTATTCTTTTTAGTTGTGCGGCCTATTGAAAAGTAAAAACAAAATAAATATATTGTCTTTTAGTTTTGCACCCTTAAAAAAAAGAAACTAAATATGTCGGTTTTTTGTTTTGCATCCTTGAAAAAAAAGAAACTAAAACACCCTAAATATTAGTGCCTTTTAAAAAGCACTAAAACAACTAAATAGTTAGTTTTTTTGTTTTGCTGCATTTAAAGAAAAGGACACACAAAAACCACTAAATATTTAGTTGTTTTTAGTCTTTTTAGTTTTGCGGCCTGTAAAACATAAACTAAACATACTAAATATTTTTTTTGTTTTGCGACCTTTAAAGAAAAAACAAAAACTAAAAAACCAAAAATCCTTCAGGTGTCCAGGTTTCCAGGTATTTGGAAATTCTAAAAAAACTAAAAAAACAAAAACAACTAAACAACTAAATAGTTAGTTTTGTATTTTTTGTAATATATTTTTGCTAAGGCCGCAAAACTAAATTTAGTTTTTTAGTTGTTTAATTTTTTTTGGAATTTCTAAATACCTGGAAACCTTGACACCTGAAAGGATTTAGTTTTTTTAGTTCTTTTAGCATTTTTTTTCAAGGCCGCAAAACTAAGAAAACTAAAAAACACAATCCAGGTATCTAAAAAAACTAAACAAACTTGAAACAACTAAACGACACTAAATATTCATCTTTTTTGTTTTGCGGCCTTGAGAAAAAACCTTTAAAAAACAAAAACAACTAAATATTTAGTTTTTTAAGTTTTGCGGCCTTTAAAAAAGACTAAAAAAACTAAATCCTTCAGTTTTCGAGGTTTCAAGGTATTTAGAAAGTCGAAAAAAA